ACACACACACACACACACACACACACACACACACACACACACACACACACACAAATACATGTACAGCCCCCTGAATATATATAAATATAGATGTTTAAAGCTGTGTCACATCCATTTACATAGGAGCATGTTGTTAAGGTCCCGCTTTGACATTCAATTAAAACGTTTACATTTCTGCTTAATTAATTCGGCGGATGGCGGGGAGAAAAGACGAATGGACGGCCGCTTTGACAGGAGGCCGATAACCACGTGTGTGTGTGTGTGTGTATGTGTGTGTTAAGGTCACAGCAGGCTGACTATTATAATTCATCTCTATAGACATGTATTCAGCAGGGACCTATATTCTCTTTTTCACCTTTATTTCCTGCAGCTGAAGCCAGGCTGAGCGGAGGTGTTTTTAATGCACTAAAGTGTTTTAAAGCTCTAACACGTCTGCATGGACTTCATTATCCCTCGGTTTATTGTTAAAAACTAACCGCTGCAGCTCATTATTGATCGCTGCATGCTGGAAAATGCATTGGTTTTCAGGAAGGAAAACATAAAAATCCACATAGCTGCGGGATCATTTTTTCATGTTTTGATTTGAGATTTTACATTCTACTGATTTGTCATAGATTAAATATACAACATGATGATTTAAAAAAGAAAATCTCTACATAATAGTGTATGATAACGTTTTTCCATCAATATTTCTCAACAGCAGTTTATTAACACATAAAATAACAAATATAATATTTTAATAACTTCCTTAAAAGTTGTTCAGAAAGACAACCTGAGAGCACTTTAATAATAACAATTCTTTTGCACCCTTTTAAAATGTTATAGGATCCTGTGTTTATTTATTTAGTTTTTTTATATACGGTAGCTGACAAACACGTTACAACGCCCCAAAACCTTTCCATTAGTAGAAATGCGCTGCAGTTTAAAAAACAATGCAAATAAAGAAACACAAATGTGCCAAAACACATGAAGAAACACCGGGTTACGTATTGTAACCCTTGTTATATTAACACAGGCGGAGCCCTCTACTGGACTCTATGGGTACTACCTTATCATGCAAGCATTCACCTACTGACATTTCTATAGACGTAGCCCGGCCCCGGGGCGGGCCTACCTGAATGCGCGCGCATCTCACTTCCGTATAAATGGAGGCCTCGCCTCCTGACCATCATCCTACACCACTCTTCAGCAAGCGGTATAGGACAGACAGTGCCCCAGAGTAGAGGGCTCCGCCTGTGTTAATATAACAAGGGTTACAATACGTAACCCGGCGTTATATCTCTCACAGGCTGTATGCACGCACTGTCGTCCAGCACACCGTTCCACCTCACTGTCCATGACCAGCTTTAGCAGCCGCTGCGCCTCACTCACCTCTCCCTCGGTTGTAACCGTGGAGAAGTCCGGGCTGCGGCCGATAGAGCACACCCTGACGCGCTTGCCTCGCAAAAAAGTGTGCTCAAAAACAATGCTGAGGGCTCCCCTGCGTCCGCCTATGGTCAGACAGGGAAAGTCTGCAGCCCTGTATGGGTTCACTATGCACCCTCTCTCCTGAGTCCCTAAAGAGCACGGGGAGAGCGCAAGTGCCCCCTATGTCCCCACACTCAGACACTGACCCCGTGCAGAGTGTGTACGGACTATAGTATGGAGGGCTCTCCCCCTCCTGCCCCCAGGCAGGCGAGGGGAGCCCTCCAGCCCTGTAAGGGCCCAGAGCGCATTACATCACCCCGCGACCCTCCAGGGGTCCGGAGAAATGTAAGCGCATTTACGCCCGGGGAGGGGGTCAGATACCCAACTTTATGAAGGGGCCTGGCGTTGACCAAGACGCCGCCGTGCATATATCCTCCACACTCACACCGTTGAATAAAGCTGTTGATGCAGCCACAGCTTGTGTGGAGTGCGCACAGACCCCCGCGGGGCAGGCTCTCCCTGCCTGCTTGTAGGCGTGTGCAATGCCGCCGCAAAGCCAGCCTGCCAGGCGTTTCTTGGACAGAGCTTTTGCAGTCACTCCGCCCCCGAAGCACACAAACAGCTGTTCAGTGCGTCTCAGGGTAGCTGTGTGCTCCACATAACATGCTAACGCGCGCACCGGGCAGAGGAGGTGTAATTTAGCTTCCCTGGCCCCACCATGGGGGGGAAGACTAAAACCCCCCAACTGAATAGCCCTCGACCTGAACGCACTCCTTAGGCTCTTGGGCACAAAGGAGGGGTTCGGTCTGAGTGTCGCCCCGCTCCGGTCACCCCGAATCAGTAAACAGCTCGGATGCACTGACAGAGCGGTTAACTCGGACACTCTTTTGGCTGACGTTAAGGCAAGTAGCAATGCTGTCTTCCACGACAGTGCTTTCAGGGAGGAGAGCTCCAGAGGCTCAAATGGTTCTGTGACCAGAGCCTCGAGCACCAGCGGCAGGTCCCACTGCGGGGCGGAGGCGTGCACTACTGGGCGCAGCCTCCTGACCCCCTGTAAAAACCACAACATCAGTGGATGAGAAAAGGCTGACCTGCCATTAAATCCCTCATGGCAGGACGAGATGACTGCTGCATACACCTTTACCGTAGAATGAGCAAGCCCTCTGTCCACCAATAACTGTAAGAAGGATCAAATAGAGCCCAACTCACAAGATAGGGGCTCTATTCTCCGCTCCTCACACCATCGCTGGAATCCCAGCCACTTGCCTGTAACAGGCTGTGGTGGATCCTGCTCTAGCTGCCTGGATAGACTGAATAACGCTGTCAGACAATCCACCCTGTCTCAGCCTGTCCCTCTCAGTCGCCAAGCCTGAAGAGGACGGCCCAGAGTGGGTAACGCCCCGATTGCACCTGCCTCTTGAGACATCGCCCCCCAGAACTGGGGGATCGCCCAGGGCTGGCCCACCTTCATCTGTGTCATCTCTGAGTACCACGGAGCTCCGACGTGATCCGGTGCTACCAGAATGACTGCCAGACGTTCTTGCCTCACTCTCCCCAGGAGAGGGAGAATGAGACGCAGCGGTGGAAAGGCGTATAGCAGCTTCTTTGGCCATGGCTCGTGTGCAAACGCGTCCACCCCCAAGGGCGGGTCGTCGCTCAGGGCCATGGAAAACCACAGGGCACAGTGGCTGTTGCGCCGGCTGGCGAACAGATCCACTTCCGCTCTCCCGAACTGGGCCCAGATCTGCTTCACCACCTCCGGGTGAAGCATCCATTCGCCTGGCAGGGGGCCGCCCCTCGACATGAGGTCGGCCCCCCTGTTCTCCAGTCCCGGGATATGGAGGGCTCTCAGAGATAACACCACCTCTGATGCCCATAACCACAGCCTCTCCGCTGTGGCCAATAAGGTTGATATAAGCCAGTAGTGTGTTCCCTGACAGTAAAACGCAGACCAAAAAGCCCCTGTTATCTCTCTCATCTGCGCATGCCCACTAGCTATCTCCTTTACAGGAGCAACAACTGGGGTAGCGAGTGGGGAATATGTACAGTCAACAATGTGTGTGAGTGCAGGATTATGAAAAAAAAACGACACTCAGACTTGGATACAGATCAACCTTCTTTTTATTAGTCACTCTAATAACAGGGATCTGAGCATTATACAGGGAGGAGGTGGGATTCACCCTAGCGTCCCAGGTGGAGAGACCCGCTGAGATGCTTCCTCCCCCCGCCAGTCAGCTGCGTGATGGTGGAGCGCCCCACCCGGCGGTTCTCTGCTGTTGCTGAGCCTGCCGAGGTCGGGCAGCCCGACCCCGTGAGTGCCGGTACGCCGGTCCCGCGGGGTGGGCCGAAGAAGTGGAGGGCGCTTCAGGCATGGGACTTACGTACCGGCGCCTCTCCCTCCGTCTCGCCGTCGCGCTGCGCTCCGAGCTTGTTTATCAGGTCTCAGGCTAGGGAAAAGAGCCATCCTTATGCGACAGTTATTTAGACTTTAAATAAATGCATATATTTATGGTGAGTTTTAGAGGCTTAGATCTCAGTATAATGATGTACTTGTATGATGCTCCAGGTGTTTGCAGGCTGACAGGTGTGACATTCTGCTTGTTTCTACAAATGATCAAACACACTGCTGTTATTTTTTCCATCAGCTCAGGATGTTAAAGGTCGACACAAACAGTACTGCTAACCTTTATTTGAGTCGAGGGATCAGTTGTGTTTCAGCAATGCTTTTCCTTCTATTCTGTCTCATGACCCCCTCGTATTTATCATGAGACCTCTTGGAGGGTGTCAATCCACATGTTGGGAACCAGTGACTCAAAGCATTAACATGTTTTTTCTCTCTCTCTCTTATCATATCGTTTGTTTGGGGGCGTTGCGGGTTATATTTAAGGATATTTTCATTAGAAATGGAACATGCACATTGAATAGATTAAAAACAATATACAAATAAATCAAGATGTTTTTTGTATTTAGAAAATGTGACATAATTTAATAAATTAGTTTTAATTCGTTATTTTATAATTTACATTTGTATTAATTATATTACTTTTTTATTCACTTTTAAAGGTATTATTTATTCATTTATTTTTGTTTTACAATATTTTAAATCCTACTCTTCTTTAATCTGCTTTTCTCTCATCTCCTTAAATATCCTTATCTCCTCTCCTCCACTTATCCTCGTACTCAAATACTGTGTACCTGTTTTCTCTCCTCTCCTTTAATCTCGTTTCCTTGGCTTCTTTCTTCTCCGTGTCTCCTCTCCTGTCATTATATATTCTCCCTGTCCCCTCACATCTCCTTTAATATTCTTATCTCCGCTCCTCACTTTATCTCTTCTTTAACCTCCTCTCCTCTCCTCCTCCTCTCCTCCCCTCTTTCAATATCCTTACTGTTCTCTCCTCTCCTCTCCTGTCCTGTCCTGTCCTGTCATAGTCTTGTTTTCTTTCCTTGGACCCTCTCTTCACATTATTTCCTCAAGTGACGCCTCTTCTCTCGTTTATCTCCTTATCTCCTTTCAACTCCTCTCCTCTTTTCTTTTCTCAGTAGGCGGGGCTTAGATTCAGGTCCAGCCCACAGGGGGAAGTGCTCTGATGATATAGCCGAATTTGGAGCGCTGTTTCCCGGCCAGCCTTGTAGCTCTGACTCGCTGAGATTTCATCATCTTCCTCTACCCCCTACTCCCAGCAGCAGGGCCCTGTAACCGCAGTTCAAGATGGAGCTCCGGACGATGGTACCCGCTCTGCTCTTCCTCTCTGCCGCCTGTCTGCACTCGGTGTCCGGCGCAGCTTCACGGACAGGACCGAAAGTCACCGAGAAGGTGGGTGATGAGATTTCCCTAGAGACGCTGTGTTAGCAATAATGTAAGAACTGAGTGTTGTTGTCTCCCCCCGCTCCGTGTGCAGTGGCGTATTCTTTCGTGCCGCCGGAGCGTGGATAATGACTGACAGTGAGCACACGCGTGCGCTTACAAACACGCACACACTGAGAGACGACGTAAACGCTCTCATCGGGGGGAGGACTGGACCGACACACACACACACACACACACACACACACACACACACACACACACACACACACACACACACACACACACACACACACACACACACACACACACACACCACACACACACACACAAAGACCCGGCGCCGTGGGAGGGCCAGGCCCTCCCATTTGACATTCCTGCCCTCCCCCAATAAACACGTTTTTTATTATTTATAAAAATTAAAAATATATATATTAAAAAATGTAAATTATAAATAAACTGTGAACTTTAATGCTACGATGTATGTGATGCAGATAGTAATATAAGAGTGATAAATGAAAAACAGGTATGAAATACTATATGATAGTAAAACAAGAATACAGTTTAAAAGGTGAGTGATTTGTAAAATATCCATAAAGAAAAAGAAAATCTGTTTACAGTTCTGTTTCATATGGTGTTGAGAGATGTATCCATAGATCTCTTAATTTTGCACCAGATCAACCCAGTCTCACGGCATTTCGTGTTATAGTCACGACATTTAATCTATTGATTCGTGTTCACCAACACGATTTCCCCCTTTTTTTCGTGTCACACAGAACGATTTTAAAAGCAATGTATTTCTATTGGTAGTGTGTTTCTTGCCTGCACCACGTATTTTTGTCCGGTCGGGTCTTGGAAGATCGGAAGCTGTGGGTTCATAAAAACATGTTCTTACTCAATATCAAGCCACGATTATTGTGGTTTTGTTCCATTTCAAAGAGCTGTTTGACGCTCGGCGTAACCTTGGCGCACTGCCACTCCAACATCCAATCCCAGAGATTGAAGATTCATCACGGGGTTTTTCAAGCAACGGGACTGTAGTCCCAAACGATAGCTGAGGATTATGGGTAGTGTAGTGTCTTCGGCCATCATAAACTCCGAAATGTTTTTCGGATTTCATATGGCATTAACACCATATCCCAACGTGCATTGCGGCTAAAACATCCAATCACCGAGCTTAAACCATAGCTGAGGATCTTGGGTAATCAGTTCAGTGGGTGTGTATCGCAATGATGCTTGAAATGTCCCATATAGGCCTACGTCTGTTTCCGGTTATTTTATTTTGAAATTCAGTTCCTGACGGACGCCAAAAAAGCCCGAGATTATAGAATTAAACAAATAAACAAAAAAATTATAATTGTGTGTTATTGTTGAGTAAATAACAGTGTGTTATTTAGAAAATAATAATAAATTAGAAGGAAAAAAAGATTTCAGTATTCTGAGGCTCTGAGCCCCATTTATTTTCCTCACAGACGGCAAAAAAAGTCCGACATTATACGATTTAAAATAAAAACAATAATCGTGGCTTGATATTGAGTAAGAACATGTTTTTATGAACCACACAGCTTCCGGTCTTCCAAGACCCGACCGGACAAAAAGACGTGGTGCAGGCACGAAACATACTACCAATAGAAATACATTGCTTTTAAAATCGTTCTGTGTGACACGAAAAAAAGGGGAAAATCGTGTTGGTGTTGGTGAATCAATAGATTAAATGTCGTGACTATAACACGAAATGCCGTGAGACTGGGTTGACCAGATTGATGCTTTTAACTTCAATATAATTTTTTTTTTAAAAAAACCCTAGAGGAGGTGAGGTCCGCCCCCCACTTGAAAAAAATAGCACTTTACCCCTGCTTACACCTTTATGCCGTGAGCTGATTATCGAGCCTTCATTGTAACAGTCGCGGGTGTACTGTGTGCGTCTGGGGAGTGTTGCAGTACCCTCTATGAAAACGTCAAGCTACCCCACAGCACCCCCAAAAGAAAATCTCTGGCGTTGACAATGGCCGCGGCGCATGACGGTTTGTGTGTGCCCTCCCATGAAAATCATATGCCCTCTCTGTAGATTTGTTCTGGCGCCGGGTCTGCACACACACACACACACACACACACACACACACACACACACACACACACACACACACACACACACACACACACACAAACACACAACGTACACGTGTCCATTCAAATGACTCTTAATGCGCAGTGCGTTTGCCTGTAGGTCGTTGTTACACGTAGTCGACTACACGTACAAATGCATGCACACACGCGCACACACCCAGTGCATGTATACGATAGCACATTTATTTAGTGCTTACATTAGGTTAATGCATTACATGGATTCATATATAACGTTATCATTTTATGATTTGACCTTGGCTTGTCGTCTCATGGTTTTATTGTGAAAGGATGATGATTAAAGAGACAACATTAGAGAATAATATTACTGAGTGCACACTCACTGTCTAAAGGAAAATTGTTAAATTGTCCTCACAAAATTAAATATTAACATGTTTTGCCTAAGTAGAAATAGTGATGTGACAAATAAAAGTTCTTTATTCAAGATGTCACCAATACAAAAGTATAAAAATATACTAAAAGAGCCAAAAGTAAAAGTAATTTTCATGCAAAGGGAACTTTAGATTTAGCTGGTTAGCTAATGAGTTCCAACCCGGGATTTATAAAAGTGTTATTGATTTAATTTGATCATCATTTATTTGTTTATTATATTTCTTGGTTATTAATCACAAATATCACATACATGCACCTTTTATGTAAGTATTGAAGTTTAAGTACAAAGTAGCAGGAATACCTACAAGTACCTTAACATGTTTACATAAGTGCAGTATTTAATCAAATGTGCTTTCCGTTGTCTAATTTGCAGATTAATGTTACTAAGTAAAACATTTGCATATTTAACATTTATTTTTAAATGTCAGAGTAGAAAAATTAAACAAAAACAAATCTATGTATCCCTTATAGTACACCTCTGATTAGTGTGTGTGTGTGTGTGTGTGTGTGTGTGTGTGTGTGTGTGTGTGTGTGTGTGTGTGTGTGGTGTGTGTGTGTGTGTGTGTGTTGTGTGTGTGTGTGTGTGGTGTGTGTGTGTGTGTGTGTGTGTGTGCTGTGTGTGTGTGTGTGTGTGTGTGTGTGTGTGTGTGTGTGTGTGTGTGTGTGTGTGTGTGTGTGTGTGTGTGTGTGTGTGTGTGTGTGTGTGTGTGTGTGTGTGTGTGTGTGTGTGTGTGTGTGTGTGTGTCCAGGTGTTTTTTGATATTACAGTCGGAGGTCATGAGGTGGGGCGGATCGTCATCGGCCTTTTTGGGGAGGTCGTCCCACTCACTGTCAATAACTTTGTCGCCCTAGCAACCGGAGAGGTAGGCGTGCAGACACACACGCATACATACACATAACTTTTACATCTGTTTCATATATTCCATTGCAATATTTTAGACAAGTTCCCAACTTGTCATTTTTGTTTATGCAGCATATATATTTAATTCTAAACTCTGTGAAATATCTAGGTATGTTACTGTACATAGATTTCACTCAAAAAGCCTTTGACATGACAAAAAAGAGTAAACCCTTGAACCAAATTTCAGTTTTGTGTTAACTTCCTCTATACTCTTCTTGCTGTTGAGTCTGGTGTGTGCTGTGATGTTCCTACTTTCTGTGAATGTGTGTTGGTCATTGTGTTCGTCATGTGTGTCTCTGCAGAAAGGTTATGGCTACAAAGAGACAAAGTTCCACAGAGTCATCAAGGACTTCATGATCCAGGGAGGAGACTTCACAGCTGGAGATGGAACTGGAGGTGAGACTCAAATGGCGCATTTCCACCACACGGTCGGCCTCGGCCTCGCTCAGTACTGCTAGGCCGCGTTGGGCCTTGTTAGGGCCGGCTCACTTCATGCTGCGCTTCCATTACAGTTTAGGAACTGGGGTAGTTACTATAGTAACGCAGTGTAGGCGTAGCCGTGACGTCATCTTCAATGAGAACCCCAGAAAAACAACACAGCCGTTAGCTGTTAGCACTCAGAGCTCACAGCTCCTTATATATGTTCAGAAACTAGACAAAAGTTAAACAAGTACAAACCACAGACTGCCTGTGTCATGGTGAATACAGTCGCTGCTTTATTTATGTCTGTATAGGCCGTTGTTGTGAGTGTGGACTGTCGGAGCATATATTGAGTTAGCTTAGCCAATCTCCATCTAGAAAACACGCATTTTAAAAGGTTTTTCGCCTGCCGTCTGTCTGCAAACTTGCCAAAGCATTCATTCATGGTTTTTACTAACCGGTATCAGTATGTTGTTACTTCGGCATCATTTTGAAACGTGTATTACAATTAAATCACGGTCAAATATGTTCATCTTGTTGTAGTTGTAGCCTCCTTGTCAGCGATTCTCTCTCTAGTTTAGCATACTCAGCCCGACTCAGCCCTGTTTGTTGGCCCCGATAGAACCACGATTTTGTCGGGCCAGAAAAGAGGTGAAAAAGTACCCCCGGGCCGGAACTAGGCCTAGTGGAAGCGCAACCAAAAAACGGGCCCGGCACGACACGGCACGACACGGCACGCTTAAACCGCGCTCCGCGCCATGGTGGAAATGCCCCAAAAGTGACTTCTTAAAGAGGCCTTTCCCTTTCCTGTAGTGTGTTATATAGGTTTTAGTGCATGTAAATGGTCTGCAAAGGCAAAAGTCCCAAAGTTCCCTTCAGAGGGTGTTTCTCTCCCACACACTCCCTGCCTGAAACGCCTCTATTGGATTCCTTTGTTTACATACGTAACATAATGACATCATTATGTAACAGTCACGCTTCCATTTGTTAGCGCTCCAACACATTGTACATTATAGGCTAAGGGGCAAGACATCTCTCAGCGGTTGACCAATCACATCAGAGCCAACTAGCTACAGTTGTACATATTTGAACCTTTTTGCTAACGTCACACAGGCCAAGGAGCCAATATTATGTTGTTTTACATTTTCATGCAATATTTAACACCACCTGAACTTGACAAAGCTTTTTCCCTCCAGGTCACAGCATCTACGGAACAACTTTTGCCGATGAAAACTTCAAACTGAAGCATTTGGGAACAGGCTGGGTGAGCTAACAGTTTATGACCTCAATATTTAGGAATAACACACTTTTGTAAAGTCATTTGTTTATGGGAGGTATGGCTTGGTGATTTAAACATTATGTGTCAAAACAATGATGATGTGATGTATGGAATTGAGAATGTTGTGGGTGTGTGTGTTTATGCACCAGGTGAGTATGGCAAACGCGGGTCCAGACACCAACGGATCGCAGTTCTTCATCCTGGCTACTAAAGCACCGTGGCTGGACGGGAAACACGTGGTTTTTGGCAAAGTCCTGGACGGGATGGTGGGTGGCCCCTCAAACTCTTTTCATAAATTGGCTGCATACAATCTGAAAAGGATTTTCAGATTGGATTTTAGAAATACATGATTCTCACAGAAAAGCATCAAAGCTAATTAAAGGTAGGGTAGGTAAGTTTGAGAAACCAGCTCGAGTGCACTAGAATTTGAAAATACACAACCGGAGAAAATCTGCCACTTCCTTACAGAGCCCCTCCTCCAACACACACGAACGCGCACATGACCAATGAGGGCACGAGATAAGTTTGTGCACAGATGGAAGGCTGACAGCCAGGTAGGCCATCCAGTTATTTTAGCCGGGCCGGCTAAAATGATTGGTCGTGCTTTTTACAGTACTACGGCTTCCACAGATGACATTTTTGTATGGATTTTTTGTCAAAGCACTTCAGATATTCATTGCTATCGGGATGTTAAGAGCATTCCATGGAATATAACAAAAAGTGTATCTCGAGCCGGTTTCTCAAACTTACCTACCCCACCTTTAAATATGAAAATCTTATACAATATGATCCATTGCTGTAGATAAATAAACTTAACTACAACCTACTTTTCATATTTTAAGTACATTTTGCTGATAAGACTTTCGTACTTTTACTAAGTTAGTGTTGCTTTAGTACTTTTAAGTAAAGGATTCAAATACTTCTTTCAATACTACTTCTTGTACAATATCCGGATTAGATAAGCAGCATCAGATGTATTGAAATAAAAAAAAAACCCTTCCGTTATCTGTTTTTAGAAAAGTTTATCTTAAGGATAAAGAGAACCAGAACAAAGAATAAAATGGTCAAGTTTCGAAATGTTAGCAGAACAATGCAATCGATCGTGTGCAGTTATGGAGAAATACTGCATGCTGCATATTACGGGAAACTCCTATAAAATACTTCCTGGCGACCTATAAATATATCTCTATTGAGTGTTTCTAACCTGCTTCTGTCCGTCTACTCTGGCAGTCTGTGGTTCACACCATCGAGCTCCAGGACACCAACGATAGGAACCTGCCGTACACCGAGTGTGTGGTCGTCAACAGCGGCAGGATCCCCGTCAAAGAGCCCTTCGTGGTGGAGGTGGAGGGCTGGTAGACAACACTGTGAGACAGTTAACTACAAGGACAGAATGTGATTATTATAAACTGGTGATCAATCACATGTCCAGATTGCTAAATTAACATGTTGACATTATAAGTTTTGCATGTTAAGGTTCTAACACCAACAAGCTATGTATCAGAAATGAGTATTTAAACCCTGAAAACATTTGATCAAAAAAGCCTGAGCAAAGCTTATAAACTGACAGAGCATTCAATTCAAATTTGAGTTGGTAACAAAAAAACAAGCTATTGAGCATTTTACACTGAATGCTATTATGTTACCATGCTAACAAGCTAACATATGACTTCTAATCCAGGCTAAATGTTACATGCTAAACGTTAGCAAGTAAAAAATCTAGCTGTATCAAGCTAACAATAGGCTGGCTAATGCTAGCTTGCAATCAAACACTTGTTTTTGTTACAATAATCTCAATTTGAGACTGATTTCTACAGAGATAATATAAGTTACAGATGTATTAATTTTGTTATAACATATCACACTGTGATGTCAAACAATTGTCTGTGAAGGGAGGAACGATTTATATATAAACATTCTAAAAGTAATTGAGGTTAAATGACACAAAATGACTCGAAGGAAAACACTCTTTGGTTGGCTAAAAGCCTTATATCTTCAAAATTGCCAACTCAAACGAAAACTAGTTTTGAAAAGAATTAGCCTTGAGGTGTGATTTTAGGGGAAATACACTCTAATGGAATTAGAAAATCATATAACTAAGAGAAAAAATCCACATAAGAGCCAATTTTGCTCCGTATTTACTTTTATTTTATTTTAAAGTAAATAGATTTTTTGGGCTATTCACTTTTATTTACCTGTGTAATAGGACCCCTGATATATAAGCATTCCAATTCAACCACGACAAATTTGATGATATGAGGTTTTCAGTCAATAATGACACACTGTATGCAGAGAGGAGTAGTCCATATTCATCGGGTTCACTGTGGTTCATGTTTAATACGTTAGCATACTTGCATATTCAGTAGATGGTGCCAGGTAGACCATCTACAATCTTAATAATGAATTGTGACCTCAAACATGACCAACATCATGGAAACTTGCACTTAAATACAGTATGTAGCTCCTCTTTAATCTCCAAATTTGCTTGCACTTTCTATGCATCATATCAAAGTATATTCAATTAAATTGCTGTTCACAAACATATGCAAAAAACTAACTTTGTAGCAAGTACTCAATCTTGCAATACTTTTTTTTGTATCTTTCCATCATTGAACATACAGAGGTCCTTTTTATGTTTTTATTTTATTGAGATCTTCCTGATGCATTATCCACCATATCATGTTTGCAAAAACTACAGCACAAATTGCACAGGAAAGAAAATGTTCAAAAGGTGTCAAAGTAGTGATTAATATATAGTAGCTGTCCTCTCAATGATTTTAAAGGTTGTTATTTGTGTGTTGTTGCTGACTTATTTAGACTTTGTTTTTGATGTTACATCTATTTTCCCTTTTCTCATTGCCGTGGGGTTTAACTGGTTAAAGTGATTATTGTGATCTCAATTCAACCAAAACTGTCGCTGTAGCATTATAATCTAGCAAAGTCCTGAAGGTTACATCAGGACTTCAGAAGGTCATATTAATCAAGTAAATGTAGCATTTTAAATGTCTTCAACAAACGTATCAGGAGTTCTGTTTTCATTATTTATTAACCACAGAAGCAGAGTGCCAACAGGTGTGTTTTCTACAATAAACAATATGCTGTTGCAAAAAACAGGATGTGTATTTGATGTTATTTTGGTGTCCGTGTTCTGTCTCTGTCATATTTGTGTTTTTTGGCTGTGAAATGGTTTAAAACAGCATCCAGATCATTTTTGAGAACTCGTAAATGCCTTTTTTATTCGTGAAATTCCAAACAAAGGTTCACACTTTTGGTATATTCAATACATTTGATCAGTTACGTTTTCTTTGTTCACACTCAAAAGACATTAATGATGTGGATAGCAGACAGGTTCACTGCATAATATTAACACAATAATAGTAAATAATAAATGTCGGAAAAAAATGGGAGACGATTTTATCTTGTGTTGTTTATCATAGGGGAACATTACCAACGTGATATCTGAGATACCTCATGATGTCCTTTAAGACCCTATCAAAATTGTTTGCTAACCCTCATGTTGGTGGTGTAACGCAGGTCATAAAAGACTCAAGTTATGATTGGTGGAGGACCAATGTTTAGACTTTCTCTTCTTTCAAGTCATGGCAAGATGTTTTTGTTTGACTGATCACACAACCTCAATGAAAAGGTAACTGAGACCAGTGAGGCCTCCCACAAGACTATGACAAACGGTTTATTAGTTATGAGCTCATGTCTTTAGTTTACAGTGCAGTGCCAAACCACACCAATACAAGAGGAACTCCAGGCTGAGTGCAATGATGCCTCTACTACAGTACCTTAACAGTAGCTGGGTGGGGCAATAACTCAGTCTGGACTTGGGAACCAAAGGGTCACTGGTTCAAGTCCCGATCGGACAAAAAAAGTACAGAGTGTGGACTGGTAGCTGGAGAGTTCGCCTCCTGGGCACTGCCGAGGTGTCCTGAACCCCAAGCTGCTCCCCAGTGCCGGAACCCTGGCAGACCCTTCACTCTGCCACCTCTCAATAAAGTTCATGAGTCTGGCAATGGTATGTGGATCAGATAAAAAATGATGCACCTTTTTGTCATCTCCGAACACAAACACTCTCACTGCCACAGTGCCATTTTGCCAATCGCCATCAACCAGAATAAACACGTTCACGCTTGACGTGCATGCCATTTTAGCCAACAACGGCAAAAACTGTGGCCGCCAAGGGGTTTGGTAAATGATTGTGGACCAACCGACATACTGAGCGTCATTGTGAGCATCTAAAAATATTGATCTAAATACAATTGGAACCAGACAGATTCTATATTTCTCGATTTTACAAACTGTAACAGGGTTACAAGCTTACTGGCCGGGTGTGAAAACGATCGAAACACTCTTTTCTTTAGACCCCAACTTTGTCCTGAATATTAAACAGGCCCTTTTTGTGTATCGCATGTGAACCAGTCATAAATCTGCGGGCTGCAGTTTAAGAAGCACTGGCATTAAGCGGTGTAATTATCGTCGGTAAAAGGTGAAGCTGCAGAGGAAGGCCGAGAGCTGACAGCTGATCTCTCAGAGCTGACACAAAACTGCTGCTAATGAGAACTACAGCGGGTGATTTGTTTCCCCCTGTTCTACAACACACACACACAGATTCAAACAGATAAACAGATACACACACACCTTCACACATACACACACAAGGGAGGAAAACATCTCCGAACACAAAGGTCAGAGCGGAGCAGAAATCTCTGGAGGAAGACAGGAAGTCGACCGAAAACAATGAAATATATCACCCATGTCTGTTCAACGCGCTCGCTCCACACAAACGTCAGATCTCCACAAATTAAGAAAATTGTCCAGATTTTCAATTCTGTTTTTTAGAGAACAGCTAAAGGTGAACAGCAGCTTGAGGCTTTGGTTCTGTTCATCTTTAAAACATCTGAAAGGCTGTTTGGACGTCCATCTGCTTTCCTCTAATACGCTTTTTCGATTTCCCTGGAAAGCTGCCTGAAGGTTTATTTTGAATCTCCTAAATTGATCATTTGTAAATCTGAAACAAACTGTGTTTATGGGATAGTGATAGCAGGGGATAAAGATCAACATTTCCAATCTCTGTAGATTCTGTACCAGTGGTATTCTTAGTCTTAGGTCGCATTCTTACCTAATGGTCCGTTTCTCTGCTGCGCACCAGACCACAGTTTGTTACATTGTTTCATTTTTCAGAAGGTTCGGTTTGCGTTCACACGGGCAAAACTCAAACGGACTATAAACTTTAAACACAAGTCATGTGCATGGAAATGCAGTTCAACAATTGGTCAGACAGTAAGGGGGTAAAAACGTAAATCCCGGCAATTTCTACCGTAGCCTCCGCCATGGAGCATCGGCAGGTTGTTTTCATGCTGCTGTTAATCTGGGGAGCATATCAACAGAATCTAGTAGACAGCACATATGATTATACAATCAGACGACGTGTGTTAAAAAACATTATAACACATTATTACACAGTATTAGCCTAATGAGAGACGTTCTGCAGTAAGGATAGTTGACGGAGCATTTTTACTTTACACAACACTGTTCAACTCAAGATTTTAAAAACATCCGTGTTCTTGTGACTCGTAAATACTACGCTTCCTGTGTTTTGGTGCAGACTGCGTTCACACCAGCGATGAACCGCTCCAGAGTTCACTTGCAAGAGGTCCGAGACCACCTCTTTTAAGCGGACCAGAGTCCGGTTGTTTAGTTCACTTCGGAGGTCTCGGACTGCGTTCACACCGACCCAAACGAACCGCACCAAGCGGCTAAACGCACCAGGGTTAGATTCAACCGGACTAAACAAGGCTGGTGTGAATGCAACCTTAAACTCCTTGAAGGGGCCCTTTTAGACTCATTTTCAGGATTATATTTGCATGCCTGTGAAATGTTTACATGCTTTAGTGTTCTTTTTCTCATATTGTCTGTGTTGCAGCATCTCTTTTCCCCCTCTGTATCTTTTGTTCCCTTTCCTGTAATATTGTGTGCATGTAAAAGCTGCAAAGGCTAACATTCCTGTGTTCCATCCAGAGGGAGTTTCTCTCCCACTCTCCCCCCCTGCCTGAAACATCTCCATTGGACTCCTTTGTTTACTTCTGTTAGTGACATCACTATGTAACATTCACCCTTTTATTGGCTAGCGATCCAACACATTTTATGTGATAGGCTAAGAGGCAGGACATCTTTAAAGGGTTGACCAATCACACCAGAGCTGGACAGCTAACCAATCAGAGCAGACTGTGCTCTGGTTTCAGACAGAGGGGGAAAAGAGGTAGTACAATTATGAAACCTTTAAAAAAAAAAAAGAGCATAATAGGGCCCCTTTAATGAGTAAGAGGTTAATGAGCATATAAGCATTTAAGCAGTGGCTCAAGCTCAGAGAAATGTCATTTTCTGGTTCTCTGTCCTGTTAGAAACATCTCAGCTGGGTCTATATTTCCCGTCTTTTATTTGTCTACAGGAGCACAGGGTGAGACGGACAGACACACGGACAAACTACAACCTTAAGCATCCACCACCTCTCCTAAGCACGCTGCGAAAGGGAAAACCCTCTCTCCGTTTGTCAGCCGATTTAACAAGACTGTCTGAACCAGCAGAGAGCCAGAGACGGAGGGCAAGAGGAGAGCGTTGGAGTAGACGAAAGAGAGAAATAGGAAGCGATAGAGAGACACGGAGAGAAAGAGACAGAGAGAAGGAGGAGGAGGAGGAGGAGGAGGAGGAGAGAAAGTGGTGGTAGGTTTTTAAATGGTCCGGAGGGATGCGTGTCGAGGAGGAGGAGGGGTAGGGGTAAGAGGAGGAGGAAAGGAAAGAGGGGAGGCTCCCACAGCGACTGCAAGTTGTTATATTGGGGATCTGTTAGTGGATCAATGAAAAAAGAAAGAAAGAAAGAGAAAGAGGGAGGGAGGAGGCAGTGTGGAAGGATGACAGGCCTCATTACCACCAAACCTCAGACAGTGATGCTTCTGTGTGAGTGTGTGTGTTCATATTAGTATGTTTGTGTGTTTATTCTCCCTCGTATACGGTGTGTATTCCAATGCCAGCAGAAACCTATTTACATGCTTGTTATTTGCAGTATCGTCTATCCTTTCCCTATCTGTATAACTGTTTGTGTGTGTGTGTGTGTGTGTGTGTGTGTGTGTGTGTGTGTGTGTGTGTGTGTGTGTGCTCCCTGCAGGCCCCTGTAAGAGAAGGATGATGGGACAGAGTTGTTTAAAGGTCAGCAGCAAACACATCATCAGACACAGAGCTGCCTTGAGAACTAACAGCTAACCTGCACACAACTACAAACTAACCACAGCACAACCAACACACAACTGTGAGGCTGCGTTCACACTGATATTAAAAGATCATTCTGCTGCATTACAACTTGGTTGTTTGGGAGGGATAATTTAAAACTGTATTCCATTCCAAATTATCTGTAAAAAATGTAATCTAACTATCACAATATAAAAGTAATATAAACTGAACATTCCGATACTATTGGATAACTTCAATGTCAAATGCAATGCAAGTATATACTAGAGAAAGAATATACAAATAAGATGGCTTTTACTAGTATAAGTATATTTTGTAAACATGTAATTATGAAGCCAAGCCCTTTGCTGCCTTTATCGTCATTCAGCTAACAAACACATACGCAAGCATGACATTTAATTGACCTAGAGGATTAGCTATGGTTTCACTTATTTCACTATATTATTATTTATTTTCAAAAGTCCTGTTGTTTTAATTGTAATCCTGCGGGTAATACCCATTTAAAAAAAACGTACCTGTATTCTGATTACTTATTTTTTTATGTCACTTTAAAGCTGCATTTACATGTAATTTGTTCTTTGATCACAGCGATATTGATAGGTTGCATGTTGAAAGGTCAGCGTTAAAAGTTGAAATCATTTTAACTTGTAGCGCAGTGCTCGGCCACAATGCCTAGAAGGACTTGTTGTAAAAACACAAAGACAAAGTCAGCGCAGTGTTGTGTGTTTAACCATTGACCTTGCCGTGTACATATCTAATTGAAAAAGTCTGGAACCATACAACCGCTGAGCAAACATTAATCGCAAAAGGGCTTGAAAAACAAGGCTTCAGAAAGAAGATTGATCGTACTTTAGACCCCATT